ACCTCCTTTGACCTGCTGGTCACGCTCCTTTGGATGCAGCCCAGGACACTGTTGGCTTTCTGGTCTGCAAGAGCACACTGAAGCTGGCTCATGTTCATTTTCTCATCGACCAACACCCCCAAGTCCTTCTCAGCAGGGCTGCTCTGAATCTCTTCTCTGCCCAACCTGTAGCTGTACCTGTGACTGCTCTGAGCCAGGTGTAAGACCTTGCACTTGTCATGGCTAAACTTCATGAGGTTGGCATCAGCCCACCTCACAAGCGTGTCGAGGTCCCTCTGGATGGCATTCCTTCCCTCCAGGGTATCAACCGAACCACACAGCTTGGTGTCATCAGCAAACTTGCTGAGGGCGCACTCAATCCCACTGTCCATGTCAGCGACAAAGATTTTGAACAAGACCAGTCCCAACACCGATCCCTGAGGGACACCACTCATTACAGGTCTCCAGCCAGACACTAAGCCATTGACCACAACTCTTTCAGTGAGGCCATCCAGCCAGTTCTTTATCCACAGAGTGGTCCATCCATCAAATTGATGTCTCTCCAATTTAGAGACAAGGATGTTGTGTGGGACAGTGTTGAACACTGCACAAGTCCAGGTAGATGACATCAACTGCTCTACCCCTGTCCATCAGTTCTGTAGCCCCATCATAGAAGACCACCAAATTGGTCAGGCAGGATTTCCCCTTAGAGAAGCCATTGGCTGTCACCAGCCACCTCGTTGTTTTTCATGTGCCTTAGCATGCCTTCCGGGAGAATCTGCTCCAAGATTTTGCCCGGCACAGAGGTGAGACTGACTGGTCTGTAATTCCCTGGGTCATCCATTTTCTCCTTCTTGAAAATGGGGGTTATATTTCCCTTTTTCCAGTTGTTGGGAACTTCACCTGACTGCCATGATTTTTCAAATATGATGGACAGTGGCTTAGCAACTTCATTTGCCAGCTCCTTTAGGACCCGCGGATGGATTCTGTCAGGTCCCATTGACTTGTGCACATTCAGGTTCTTAAGATGGTCTTGAACCAAATTCTCTCCTACAGTGGGCGTAGGGTCTTCATTCTCACAGTCCCTGAGTCTGCCTTCCAAGACTTGGGTGGTGTGGTCAGAACATTTGCCAACGAAGACTAAGGCAAAGAAATCATAAAGACCCTCAGCCTTCTCCAAATCCTGTGTAGCCAGTTCTCCTGAGAGCTTCCAGAGAGGGCCCACGTTGTCCCTAGTCTATCTTTTATTCACAATGTGTCTATAAAATCCCTTCCTGTTATATTTCACATCCCTAGCCAACTTTGATTGAACTTTTTGAATGAACCTGTAAATCTCTAGGAGCTGATACCTGTTAGACAGATCCAAAAATTCAGAAAAATAACTGGGGACTTTTGCAATCAGCACATACACTATCATCCCAAAGTTATGAAATGCAAATATGAACTAACTTCTGCCAGAATTACCCTACAAATTATACTCTTTTCCCCTTTGTAAACAAAATCTAATCTTTTTTTTATTTAAACAAGAACAATAGTAATATCTGCATGTAAAATGTTAGTTTCCCAGAATCTATATTAAATTAAATATTGACTTACCAAGCACTGTGTTATTCATTATTTACTGTATTCAATCTGCGTGATTTATTAAAAAATTGATAAGAACAGCTACTGGTAAAATCCCTACAGGTGAGCTCCCTAGCCAAGCCAATTATGAAATAAGCAAACCTACGGTTACTACAATAAAATGACAGTATTCGATTTTAGCAGTTGGTGATATTTTAAAAGGATGCTTTGAGACACTTACGTGAAATAAATAAGCTGCACAGTTTCATAAAAAAATTTAAGATTGCTTTTATTCTGTTATTTGCCAGACCTTTCTGTTCCCCTCTGCCCTTTTCTGAAAGCTAATTTCTCATTTTATTAGAATGGGTTTTTTTTCATGTATTTCAGTAGTTCTTTTTCTACCCATTACACTCTCCATTTCAAAGCAACTTGAATATATCCAAGACATGCTAGTCAGAGTGCTAAAGACCAACCTGCAAATAATTGTGAAAGTGCTTTTAAGTGGAAAGCCAAGTTTTAGAAGCAGAAAGGACATTTCCAGCTACATATTTCATTGTTGCTTGAAAAATCCTATTTGGTCTATGGTTAGAACATTATACTGAGTGCAGGGATGAGTTCTGCATGCAATTATATATTCAATTCTATGGATATAGTGTTCAGGTCTGCAAAAATTCCAAACCAGTATTTTACTGGCTTAGATGTTTTTAGATGGAAATTCTAACTTGTTAAGTGTGATGTTTCACATAGACAATGTTCTTGATTCAGATGCCCCATTAAACCCTAAGTAGTGTACATTAAAGAAACAATGAAAACCGGGACTGTCAAAAAAAAAAAAAAAGGAAGAAAAAAAAAAAGAAAAGAAGCAAGACAGAAATCCCTATCAGCAGGGGAGTAAGAAGTAAGGCATGATTACAGCAAGTACACTTTATTAGTTATTTTTAAAAGTTATGGTGGAAAATGATACTGTGTTGCACAATACACCTCCCCTTCCCCCCCAGCATTAATTTCTTTAATGTTTCTAAGCCTGTTGTTGCCTTCAAACAGAGATGCACTTCACATCATTTTGATCCCTAGAATAGGCCAATAACTCTCAAATATAAAGAACTTGTAAGTCACGCAGGGAAAAAAAAATCACTGCCACAGGGGTGACATGCTTGGTTTTGAACACTACAGCTAGTTTTAAAAAAGAAAATTCAAGTTCATGCAACTTAACTACGAAGAAGCTTCTGAGCAGAGAAAGCTAATAAGACCTTTAACCCAAACAAACCCAATGTTTGTAATTTACACATGCATGCATGGAAATATCCTAGGGGAAAACCACCTTAATTCATTTCATTATTAGAGCACTCTTCAAATGTCAGCCTCTAGCTCAACCATGGATAATTTTTGATTGGAAGAAAAAGACTTTAATTCTCAAACAGGTTCTTGCTAGAGTAAAGATTCATAGTGAAATTACCAGTTGAGATGTGGTAGCATTTTATCAGAAAAAGAGGGTATGTCAAAGAGCTTGCTGAAGAGGTGGAAGGCAGCATGGACACAGGACAGAATTCGTAATTAAATGAAAAGGTCCCCTTCCTGAGCTGCTGCTGCTTCACTGTTGGAACAAGTCTGATCTGAAATACTTTGTTTGCTCAGGCATAAAAACCTTGCCTAAGCATTGCAGAGATCTAGATGTAAGCAAACAGCATGAGAATCTAAGTTCATGATTTTTCATTACGTTTGGATACACTGTTAATAAAGATTTCTCTACAGAAAATCCTCAGCAACATCCTAGCTATCAATACCAGCACTTGAACATTAATGCTATCAACAATAAAACAGTGATCCTAATCTTGCCTGTGCATATAAAGAGCTTATGGACTTTTATTTGATAATGAGTTACAGCGGTGGTGGGGGCTGCAAAAAATGTATCTCCAGGAGAATATAATAATATTCATAATATAATAATAATCATAACTGGGGGGAGGGGGATGGCAGTTCATTTTTTAATCAGAGTGAGTAGGAAGGAAAGAAAACAGAGCCTCATATACATGTATAATCCCTACTTAAATATTACTTCTGAGTCCTGATATGAAATGGACAAGATCAAAGATATGAATTTTAATAACTGCTCACTTAATTTTAGAATATTTTTGTAAGTTCAATATTATTTATCATGCTAACATCTTACAAAGGGAAGTGAGGAATAGAGCAAGGCCTTATTCCTGTACTGACACAAAATCTACATTTTAACTTTTTAAGCCTGAGAAAAAGAAGAGGAAAATTCCAAAAAACTCTTTCAGAAGTTGAACATTTCTGTTTAAACTTTGCACTTTCATTCAAAGTATCCTCAGGATTTTGGTTCTTTAGAAGCAGGACAGAGATTTTATAAGATATAATTAAATATTTGTTAAGCCTGAAGAAATTATTTATTGTAACACTGAAGTGTAATCAAAGGATGGACATAAATATGAAACTTTTTAACAGGAACTGGGACTCTTTTTGAACAATGATTAGTTTTGAATCATTCTAGATGAAATGCACTAGAGAAAAAAAAACAAGGCTGAATCCTCTTTCCTGTTTTATTTCTTGTCACTTGTGAAGAAGCACTCTATGCTAAGGGATTTTTCTTCCAAACATTTCAGAACCCTGGAGAAGCTATTCAATCCCTTTCTGTTCTTCAGGAATGATGTGCAGGCAGCAGAACATACATGCTGATCTGCTGGGGCCGTGTTGTCTCGTTTATAAAAATCTCTTTGACATGCCATTTTAAGAGATTGGGAAGCTTCCAAATTAAATGTATGGAAGTTTTAGATTAAGAGTTAATAATGGATGAAGCAAATATTTGGGAAATAAAATGCTACGTAGTAGTTTGCAAAATAATTGGATTCTAAAAACATTGTGGACAAAATATTAGCTTTTAAATTACCTAAAATACATGCAGTAAGCAAATAGCAAATGTCTCATATTAGAAAAAGGACATCATACACATATATTTTATGATATACATCTGAGTAGTACAATGTGTTTAAACCTGTGGGGTGCAAATTTAAATTTTTTTAAAGGTTTTGTAGGTATCTGTAACCTTTGAAATATAATTTATTGAAATTATAATAAATGAAAGTAGTCGTCACAGGTAACAAATAAAAACAGTCATTTAGCTTACATTAACTTACTTAAATACTATCTTTATCGGAATGCTCCCCCACGTGTTTTGTACAGGTGGGTGCTTTAAGAAAAGTTCACAATGAATTCTTCCATCGTTCAAAATTATCATTTAAAGTATCCCCAACTCTCACACTCTGAACAAGAAGCTATATGAGAATGCATGTTGAATAAGTAGATAAGGTTTTAAAACCTTAAATTCTTCCCACTGGAGTTATCCTAGTCACAAAGTTACAGGAATTTGAAAGATTTTCATGAGTGCCCACAATGAGCAGTATATATATATATATATGTATATATATATATATATATATAATGAGCAGTACCATTCAGAACATAGTAGTAACAAAAAAACAAAACAACGTACTATTGTATTTTACCACATTGTGGTAAAAAAAAAAAACCTTAATTTTGGGCTTGTAGCAGTATCTGACCATTCAGATTCAAAATCATGTCTGGAAAAAAAAAAAAAAAAAGAAAAAAAAGAGAAGTTCTGTTCTTAATAATGAGATGATTTGATAAAAAATGCACAAAAAATTCCTGTAAATATATTTCTTATCAATAGATGTTTACCTTGCATGTACACTAATATATGAGTATTTGATTAGAAGGATGACACTGGAAGCAATTCACTTACTTAATTTCATTCAGTAAGCACCTCCTTACTGAATACAAAGATATCATAAAATAGTGGCAATTAGAATCTGTTAGCACTTGAATGACCTCTGTTGGCACTATATAGCTCAGAACAAGTTTGTCTTTGTAAAATGAAGGTGTTGCCTCTCAGAATTCTTCATTCAGCATTTAATCTTTTTTATGGATATGAATACATTGATCAGTCCTGTCAATTTCAAAGATCATTCTGATAGGACCTTCAAATCATAGTCATACACTAATTAAAACACACAGTGCTGTACTGCTATTTTTAGCATTACTAATATGACATAGCAAAAAAAGAGCTGAAAATATTTCTTTGAAGTAATAAATTTAGTTAGGTAATAATTCTGTTAATCCAGGAGTTAATGCTTGCACAACCAACAATATAAATAAAGCAAAAATATTTTCAGCTTCTTTAAAAGTTTATTCATTTCATGAAAGAACTCCCTAAAATAGCTACATCATGACATTAAGAAAAATCCTTTGTTATGAGGAATCAAAATCTGTATCGTATCTATGTTACTACATGACAGGGAGGGGGTGTGTGTGTGTGAATCACTTATGCTATAAATAATATACCTCTGCTTTTTGCAGGACTTGTAACGAAGTTATACTGCTTTAAGGATTTTAAGAAATACATATGTGTGCAGGCTGACAGCAGCTCATCAGAAAAAAATAACATGAAAAAAGAACAGAAGACAATAGCAAATGAAAATCATCATGTCACATAAACTTACAAGATAATTGACTGCATTTATAGCTATTCATACAAGTATGTAAACCAGTCCCTATTAGAAAAAAAATCTGGCAATGCCTCTTTGTCTTTAGTAAGAAACAAACAAACAAGCAAACAAAAACCCCCAACCTACCTTCCCAGAAAACAAAACAAAACAAAACAAAACTGGGTAAACCAGAAAAGAACAGCTGCAAGAATAATACAAATCACAATTCCAGAAAATAATCCATATATTACCTAAGAAGAATGTGCCATTACAATCCAAACAGTCTTGCTTCAGAAACCAAGGGTGGATGAAATGAAAGAGCCTGTCTCTGTGGCCTGCTTTAATATAGATATATATTATATTTCTAGGTGACACACTGCAAGTTTTCAGAAGAACTGGTATGCTGACAAAAAAGAAAATAATTTCTACCTTGAAGTTACATAATTACAGAATGGCATCAATTTTTCAACACCAATTTAATCCAAATCTAAACTTTAAATAATTTGTTTCACATTGCAAAAACATCAAAAGCCTCTTCAGATGGTTTCAAAACATATCTTGAACTGATCATTAAAGCCAGCTCAGTTTTGTATTTTTAAGTTCATCAAACTTAAACAAAAACTATTCTTCTCCCAAAATTCCATATTTCAGACTGAAGCATGTTCTGTTTCCTGGCATCTACCTTTCCAGTTCTTTTCAGTTATTTTTAATTACTGACTACCAAAATACCTTTTCAAAGTGAGAACTCAAAATTCTTCATCTCAAAAATACAACAACAAAATGCTTCAAGATTTGTCTAAATAAAACCGCTTTAGATAATGATGAAGCAAATTCCACAAAGATCTGAACATTAAGTTCCATCTGGCACTTCACTGACCAGGTGCCAAATCTGGCTGAAGCCTTTCTAAACTCCACAGAATCCTGTACTCTCAAATTGCCTTGCCAGTATATCAGCTAGCATGTTGACAGGGTGTTTTATGCTGTTAAACACAGTCCAACTGCAGTTTTTGCTTTGTCTGTCTTGAAACTAAGCACTTCATTGAAATTAGGCCTTAGTTCCTTGTGTTATATAGCCACTTTAATAACTATATCTTTCAGATAATCTATTAGAAATGTCTTCTTTAATCTTCTATGCCGCACACAATTTTCTTTCAGCCTGTGTTGTAGCATGCCACTATTGGGGAAACAGCTGTAGCTCGTTTTCTCTGGCCCATTCCTCCTAAGTGGTTATTCTTGGTGGTGTCTGTGCTGTGCAAATACCTTCTGAACAGAAAGAATGTCCCAAAGGACTTCTGTTACAAGCAAGAAAATGTAATTATCAGGTATGGAGGGAAAGGAAATAATGGACTTTTTTTTTTATTTCCACAACTCAGAATAATCACAAGTAGTAAGTACTAAAAAAAACATGAGTGACAAATATAAACCTCATCTTGTTCACCTAGGCATTGTTTCCTAGCACATGTTGTATGGAGTTTGGAGTGAGTGACACTTACCCTCCAGATTCAACAGTCAGACGGTGCTTCAAAGAAAACTATTACACAAACTAATTTTACCTAATGTTGAAATAAAACCAACAGCCCAAAACACATTATTGCATTTCCTATATTTTCAGCTTGCAGCTAGTTCAAGCATCAGTCAGAGAAAGATCAATTTTTGATCACCTTCAGTTTAGCTAGTTAGTCCTCTTGTCTAGCTCACTGCATATCCTGCTTTTTCTTCCATCTACACATTCCAAAAAACTCATAGGACATATATGAAATAGTTGCTCTTTTAGCTTGATTCTTTCTTAGTTTGGAGAAAGGAGAATTAGAGAAACCTCCAGGTATTTAGAATATATTGAGACTGATGCTCCCACTGTGAAAATTTTCATTATGTGTATAATAAAATGAGAGTGTGAGAGGAGGGAGGGAGAAATTACTTTCTTAATAGTGTGGACTTTGCAAGTTCCTATTTTGAATACAGTCCGTAGTGCTGCACTTCTGAGCTGAACAGCATAAAGCTACTGTGGCAGCTGGACATGATGTTTAGTCTCTGCCTGACTGGCAGATCACAGTAAAGCAGCATATCCCATGAGTCTCTCTGTGAGGTCGTTACCAACTGATTGAGCATTCACTTTCATGCCTTAAACCTCAGAAACCCAGGTGTGTTGTAGATTAGCACAACTTACAAGCAGTGTGTGGAAGTTTATTATGATAATTGTTGCTTTTATTTTTTATTTCCCTGAACTCAAAGATAATTAATGCCAGTATGTGTCCTGGTGTCTGACTCCCTTAATTGGTCCTATGGAGCCTTGGGCGTTTGAAAATCCACTCACTTAAAGGGTCTTTTTTTCTTCTCTTCTTTTTTTCCCTTTTGACTTGTTTTCCTGGAGCTGTTCATTAGTGCCTAAAATATTTGATTACATTTAATTGTAATGTCTTCAATTCTGTGCACCTGCTGTAATTTATGTAGTGGGGGAAAAGAAGACCTACAGAAGCTAAAAAGTGAGATGAGGAATTGAATGTTAAAAAGAATTCCCCTGCAAAGGGTAATTGGGGTTAAATATGGAAGCAAACTAAACATATTTTCAGTTAGATTTTCCTAGCTGTTATGATAGCACCAAAAGGATTTATAGCATAATGACTACAGTTCTAAAACATTTCCACATCCAAAGGTTTTATCCCCACTTCAGCATTCCTAATTATTTTAAACCCTATCTCTATCATGAGAAAGTGCACATGGTGTTGGTCCTGCCTAGCTGGCAGTGCTGAGCCACATTCCTACCTGAAGATGTGCTGCTCTAGTGTAGATCTTTCTCTTTTTTGCCAGCTTTCTTTTACTGAAATATGTTCATTGTTCCCAAGTTTTTTTCCTTAAAAATATTGAAAAGGTTAAAAAGCTTCCTGACAGAAGCTTTAGTTTTTAAGGGACAGCTTACAGCATTTGTAAAGCAGTCAATAATACCAATAAATATTAGCACCACTGAATATTCGAATTCCCCTGACATCAGTAGAAATGGAATAAGGGATGCAGTAAAAGAGAAAAATCTTGTGCATTTTTAGGAGGGAAATTACGTCAGAACATAATTTCATTTAGCTGTACTGCTTCTTATTTATCTCTAAGGGCTAGTATAAACCTGTTGAACAGCTTCTAAACCCTACTTTCTTTTTTTTTCATAAGAAAACAGATTAATTTTAACACATTCACTGTTAGCATTACATGACAAATTCTTGTTTCAGCACTGCAGAGGGAGAATAGAAGGATCATCTACTGATGGCTATGATAGTTTACAGAATTCAGTTTACTGTTGAGACCAATTAAGTAGTCTTTGCCAAGGAAATTCCACAATTCATATGCAGTAGCATCCCAATACTTTTCTTTATTTCTCTGTATTGTGATTATTATCTGAGGCATCTTACAGCAACAGTTACTGATACACACACACATACACAAAAAAAAGGGTCACAAATCAATTTGTTGCTGTCATCTTTTGCTAAGTATGGCATTTACTAAAAAATACAAACACTGATATCTCTGCTTTTTAAACTAGCATTATTAGTAATAAACTTGAGTTGTAATAAATTGTCAGGACTCCTAAGAACATTACCACACGATGAACATTTTATGTTAATATCTACATTTCACTCTGTTATGGAAACCACAGAGCTATTAGCAAATGCTAGAAATTCATCTTACATAGAATCAGAGACAACATATAGCAGTATGTTGATGAGAGATGTGATGACAGACATATACACTCCTCTCTAGTCATGTCCGACTAGCCTTTAAACAAATCTTACAGCAAATGTATGGCATATTTTTACCTCAGGAACTGCCCCTGGCATTGACAGAAGACTGCTCTATGACCAAAAGCATGGGACCAAGAGCAAGCGGGGTGGTAATTTATTCTCTAGATCACAACAGATTTCCTGTCAAGATGCCTTCTGTACTTCTAGAAGACACTGCTTTCAAACCTCATTATAACCAGACTCTACCAGTTGCACTCTAAATTGCAGTGTTACTGAGATTTCATGTATCGGTTCAAGTTTTTAATACTGTTTTTACAAAGAAGTCTTCACAAAAACACAATAGGATTTATTTATTGAATTTGAATCACTCCCATTAATACTATTTTAGAATCTTGTGATTGGTTGACAGTTACGGGCTGAATGTGACCAGTGATTTAATCCACACTTATTATGGTATGACATGCATAACTCTGGGACATAAACAGAACCTTAAAGAAGCATGGCTGAAGTACATGCACAAGCAACATGCGGTTCTTAATACTGCAAATAATTTCTTTTAATTTTAGAATTTAATATAGATAACAAAAAATTGTTCTTGGTATTCAGATTTCAGATATAATATTTAAATAATAAAAGGATGTAAAAAGCTGTCTACAAAAGAACATTAGTTTAAAAAGAAAAGGCAAATAAAATTTAGACATTCCTTCCAGTTGACAGAGAGGGAAGTTAAAAAAAAAAAACACCCACAAACCAAAAACCCCACAACCAAAACACATTACATGGAAAGGAAACGGAAAAGGAGAAGGAGAAGGAAAAGGGGGGAAGGAAAGGGAAAGGAAAAGGAAATGAAAAGGAATAGGAAAAGGAAAAGGAAAAAGGAAAGGAAAAGGGAAAGAAAAGCCTACAAAAACAAGCATTTCTTCCCTGTGATAAAGTCAAGCAAATGAGAGCCAAGCATGTCCACTTTGCCACAATTTCAGAAGGATCAGCAGTTGCTAGTTTTTTATTTACGCAGAGTAAATGCCAGGCTCTGCAACAGGTCTAACAGGCACTTCTTTCTGCATTGAATCTTTAGAACTAACATGTTTTTAGATCTTTTGCTTTAGGGAAGGTCATGCATGAGGCTTTGATGCATGTGATGACCACACTCAATATAAGTACAAAATATAATCTCTACCTAAGGTATTGCACTTAAGCCTTTTCTCTTGGCTACTAAGACAGTTTGAGGTTTGTCAAGTTTAGTAGCTTTGTGTTTTTAGGCTTGGAACCATTCCATGGTCATCATTTTTCCTCTCCTACCTGCACAGACACACATGTATCAGGATAATAGCATAGGTGGCATTCTGGATAGCTACTCCCAGGCTGCATCTGTCTGCACATCAGTCATGAGCATGTGAATATAAACCAGTATGTATGTAAGAACAAATTGGACAATAAGTTCAAAGTGAAAGTATAAAATACTTAAAGGCATCTTGGAGAAGCAAGAAGCAAAGTGACAGCTGAGAATATATACAGTGAATGGCTGTGTGGGGAACACTGTGTGAATCCTACCTATGCAGTTGTCACATACTGGGTAGATTTACAAACAAAAGATCAGTGAGATACGTGCATGCTACCTGGAATGTAATGACACAAAGGAAAATACAAGCTTACGCTATGAGTGTTAGTAACAGGTTTTTAAAGACACATGCGTTGTTGCAGCAAGGTGAAATTTTGGAGTTTTGCTTTTCAAATTCTTCTTTAAAGCTCATCATGATGGCATTTTCTGCACTTCTCTTTCAACAGGATTGCTGCTTCACAATGTTCTCAGCAGCAGGTGAAATATTCTACCTTATCAACTCATGGCCCTATAAAGAGCTTAATATATGATAAAGACTTAAAAATAATTCTTGTATGTGACTGAGAAAAGAAGCATAAATTCCACCCTCTGACTAGATTCAGCTTCTTTCAACAAGTTCCAGCAGTGGTTCTTGTCTCTCATTTATGAGCTACCTATGAAAGATATCACTTTGGCAGAATCTCTAAGCCATTTGCAACAATCAATGATTTATTGGTTTCAGACCAATTTTTAAGTAAAGCACTTCTTAAATATAATGGTGCAAATGTTATCCAAGCTTAATAAAAAGTAGAATTATTACAAAGATGCTGTGATCTTGAATATTTAAATTAAAAGAGCACATGTGTTATTTTAACTTTAATGTCCCTCTAGCATGTTAATCACTGTTCAGGATTAATGAGTTTCTTTTTACAACTTCTGAGTTTTGGCAAAAAAGTGAATAGAAAAAATAGTAATCTTCCTTTGTGTTCATATAAATCTTTAGAGATGCAGAACAAAAGTCTTGCTTACATGTAAAAACCTGAAGGCTGTTAGACTTCTCTCCCCCTCACCCTCCAAAAATAAGATTCAAATATGAACGTTTTGGGAGAAAAGAGGAAATACAGACAAAAAGAATCCATGAGTGATCAAATTATTAAATTACTATCCCTATACATTCTGTTCTTTCTAGGTAAATCAGGTATATCTTTCTGTTGTTTTATTTATCCCAAGTATTAGAATAATTAAAGAGGAAGATGCGGGAGGCATAGAGCAGTGAATGTCAAGGACACTTGATGCAATACCCTAATGATGCATGTTCCAGCATACTCAAATAAACAGGTTTCTCTAGAGATTGTTTGAATGAAAATAATGTAATTGCACAAATAGCGTAAACTGAGTGCATGTGTACAGAAGAAAGAAAAGAGAGACAGGCAGCAGTCATGCTTCTTGTAGTTGATGGCGTGTGGTGAATAATTGATCATTCCTTCCTTCTTTCTGATGACTTCACTAATTCTCTCAGTACTGCACTTCTACAAGTGTCACGATCACTATTAAACCAGAGAGGAGCCCAACAAGCCCTTGAGAATACCTACTGTCTGAAATGCCTTTTAAAGCACCAACTGAAAAATTAAATGCGAAAAGCAAGAAAATGATTCTGAAGTCTTCTTCACCTTTGCTGTGTGCTATAATGCTATACTTGACAGGCACTGTTCCACAGCCAAGCACTGAATTTACTATGCCTGTTATTAATAACACAGGAAGGGAAAGTAAAGCCATTAAGTTTATTAAGAGAACACAAAAAGGCATTAACACTTTATTTTTTATTTTTTTATAATCAGCCAATTAACAAGACAATATGAAGGCTTTGAAATGATTTGTGCTTTTGAAACAATGGGAAAATAACATAGCCAAAACTGTTTGGTTTGATTTCATATTCAAAAAATTTCCATTATGAGGCACTGGAATGGGTTGTCCAGGGAGGTTGTGAATGCTCCATCCCTGGCAGTGTTCAAGACCAGGTTGGACGAGGC